TATTTTTTATACAAAATAAAACTAAAATTTCAAAAGATCTCTTTTCGTTATTATTTATTCAAGCAACATTCTCTTCTTATTTCTCGCGCTTTATTTCACCTTTCGTACTTCTCTTAGTGCGCAAAAAAATTAAAAAATCAAAAAACCCACTTTTCAAAAGAAATTTGGAAAGCTTTCCCTTTCCTTTTCGCTTTACTTCTCTTCTTCTTCGATTTATTATTAATTGTCAAACACCCTCACGGACTTCATCGCACTCCTAGAAAGTCTAAAACTGAGATGCACGAGTACCCGTTGAATAGGTATAGAGCAGCAATCCCAAGGGACTTGCGTGCGAAGCTGTCGATGACGAGGGTGCTCGCGTTCCTACACATGCAAACGGGTGATTGCGCGTTGAAAGAAAGAATCAGAGCGCTGAGAAGGAACAATCGGGAAGAGCTGTGCGCGCTCAGAGCTACTCATCTCGCTGCGGCAATTGGAGAGAGGCACACGGCGTCGCCTGCGGCGTCGTTATTCTGGTCGAAAGCGCGCAGCAAGTTTAAGGCAGGTAGTTCTCTCAATGGGCTGCTAGACGATCAAAAGCAAAGGGTGAAAGAAAATAGTGAAATATTGAAAGTCGCTGCCAATCACTACGAAAAGAGTCGTAGAACACATTGTATACCGCCCACACCGATATGTGGACAGTCCGGATATCGAATGGGAGAATGAAAACGAACCGATACCTCCGGTAACGCTCCCGGAACTGATTAGAGTGACGAAGAAACTGAAGAAGGAGTCATGTGATGCGAACGGCATTTCCTTCTCAATGCTGCACTATTTTCCGAGTTCCTACATGGCGGGTCTTCTGCCACTGATAAACGCATCGTTTCAATCTCTCTCGTTCCCTTCTCAATGGAAACAGGTTCGCATGATTCTCCTAGCGAAGAAGGACGCCGTTTGTCACATCTCTGACCGATTTCCCTTCTCGATGTGTTTTTGAAGATAACGGAGAAACTGTTTCTGTCGAGATTCAAAACAATTCTGGGAAACAGGGGAATTCTCCACGACTCACAATCAGGGTTCCGGTCCAATTTCAGACTTCAATCGCGTGTCCTGTTACTGATCGATTAGATTGCGTCAGCAATGAGTAACAGCTCCCCGGTTGCGACGCTTTTCGTGGACTTTAAGCAGGCGTTCGACCAGCTTTGGTGGTGCGGATGCCTAGGGAAACTTAGTCGGCTGGGGATACCAAAGGCCTTCATCCGTTGGATAGAAGCGTGGTTAAAAGAAAGAGTAGAGTTTTTTGACAGGAACGGAGAAAGATCAAGATGTTTCCCGATCTTCAGAGGTGGGCCGCAAGGCTCATGCCTTACCCCCACCATCTTTATCACCTATCATTCCGACATGTGGTCCTTCCTGTTGAGCTCGTTGTCTAACTTTTTTGCGGACGTAACGGTAGAACTATCAAATGGGTCAAATCGTATAAATACCTCGGTTACACGATCTCGAGCAAACTAGGATGGGGCCCAATGATAACGTCAGTGAAAACTAATATCAGACAGAGAACGTCCGTTGTCAAATCGTGTAGGATAGGCATTGAACGCTTTGAAATCAAAATGATTTCGCACAAGCATTTTGAAATTATTTATTTCGAAAAAGAGGATTCAAAGCTAAAGTTTAACCAATTTCTGGTTTCATATTCGTGCACACAGATTGACCCGGAATAGTCGTTGTCCATCCGGCTTGACATTGGCGGCAACTTGTTTGAGCAAATAATGCAGTGTAGAATCCAATGGGACAAGGTTTAGGAGACACTGCAGGATCACTACATGAATGACCGATAGGACATTTTGTACAGTACGTCGCTGTCGGATGAATTGTATAATAACCTTTTGGACACTTTCTGCACCTAGTCTGTTCATAGAGATCTCCATAAAAACCTGCTGAACATGGTTGAGGAAGGTTTGCTGGATCAGGACAAAAATAACCTAATTGACAGCGAATACACTTCTGTGCGCCTGGCTGCGTACTATATGTGCCAGGGCGGCATATTCTGCATATTTGTTGGGCAGGTTTATCTGCATATGTGCCGGGAGAACAGGGTTGAGATAAATTATTGTTAACGGGTGCATATTGACCAAGCTGAGCTCGGGAACAATTCGTAGAACCTGGTTTAATATTGAAATGACCTGGAGGACATATGCGACATTTTGACTGCTCGTATGTATCCGTATAATTACCCGGGGCGCAAGGTATTTGTTGGATGCCATCGGGACAATATGAACCCATCAAACATCGACGACATTTATTAGCCATTAGATACTGACCTGACTTACATGGGGTGGCAGCTGTTGCCACAACATGAAAAGCGATCATGAGTATACTGAAAATCATTGTCTTGTGTTTCTCTCTCAATAGCGCTTCATTTTATAGAAACGTAACTGCGTAATTCTCACCTAGAGATAAAAACTAGTTTTCGTTTTCATTTGACAAACATTAGGATTAGTGCACTAGAGCAAATAACTCTCCAGACTTTATCACCTATTTTTTCGCGGAATAAATTTGATAAAAATTTTAAAATACTGATTATGGTATTAAGAAATGGCGAACTTGATATTTTCGAATGCTATAAAAGGACTTTGTTTGGATGCATGAAACATTCTTCGTGAAAAAGCGCCTGTTATCTTTCACTCAGTTTCTTTGCGACTCCAGCAAATCAGACTCACGTGTATTTTTTCATTCAAACCAAAATGCTTGTTCACCTACTGTCAATGGTGCTTCTGTTTTCTACGTTACATCTTATATCATCGAATCTTATACGAGGCTTCAATGATGATCTTTGCGATCCACATACAGTCACGTCCGAACATTATCCATCGCTATTAGTACGGCTCGATGTCCAAAAGACAAGTCCTTTAAAACTGAAGGCAACATATCGTCTTCCAAACAGCACTAGAGAATTCTCTTTCGAAGGGATGGTTTTGACTGGTGGTTTTCCAGTTCCAGCTGAGTTAGCGGCATGCAGATCACTAGGTTGTAGCGAATCAGCAGGAGCTACACCAATGGGATGGACCGCACAATCTACATGCGAGTTCACCTGTCCAGACGGTACAAGTGCTATGCAAAAATGCCGTTTTATGATTAAACAATTTCAATGTCCAACTGATGCAATGAATTTGCTCGAATGTCTCACAAACGAACGGTTTTGGGAATATGCGACGAACGTACCAGGTTCGAGTTATAAAGGCCTTGATCTCAAGTGTATCAAATGTGAAGACTAAAGTTGTAATCAATGATCAAAAGAAACAGTGTTATTTTCTTGCAGTAATGGCTCTTTTTGTATTGTTTTTCGACTATTCTTCCTCTTCAATAAAATTCAGCTGATTCTTCTCTGATAGATCTTCTAGATTCAATAACTCTGCTATTTCGTAATAAGCTATTATCATACATCAAGTTCAAACTTTCAGTTCTGTCTTCCAAACAGAAAATGTTTGTCTGTCTGTCCGTCTGTCCAACTAATCAGGAAGCAGCATTTTCGAAAAAGGGCGGGACAGCAGATTTTCGCTCGCAAACTGACTGGGACTATGTAGTCAAGCCTCGCGGATCTGAATCTGAGCTTAGTTCCTCTCGAAACCCTATTGGTCAGCCAGAAACCACTGAAAATCGAGTTTTCGAAAAAGTGGTCCTTCATACGTAGTTTGATGCGGGGATTTCGAATCTGGTCACCGTTAGCGTCGGAATCCTATTGGTTGACTCAGAACCAATGAAAATCGACTTTTCTGAGAAGTGGCTTTTCCGAAGTAATTCGGTGTGGAGAATTCGGATCTCGGGTTGAATTCAGCTGAAATCCAACTGGTTAGTCCAGGACCAACGAAATTCAAGTTTTTCAGAAAGTGGTCCCTCATAGGTACGTAGTTTGATACGGGGAGTTCGACCATCACCTCCAATCTTCTAGAAATCCGATTGGGTGACTCAGAAGCAATGAAAATCGATTTTCCGGGAAAGTCATCTTTCCCTGCTGGTTCATCCCTCAACTTTCAAATTGGACCCTGATTCGCCCTCAAATTCGATTGGTGGGCTGACAACCAATGAAAATTGAGTTTTAAGAGAACTTGATGCTCAAGGGTAATTTAGTATGTTTAGTGGGAATTGGACGTTTTCCAATGAGAAAATAAGCCGATCAGTCACCGCTCGTTTCTCAAGTCATATCGAAACAAGTTTCTATCGAGCTAGCTTGACTGAAGCAAGTACGAACGCATCGTCTGATTCGTCTGAGACATCGTATTCGTCCTCTAGATTAGAAACTTCAGACATACTATTATTGAGCACGTTTCTCCAGCCTGTGTCTTATCGTTTTTCTATCGTCAATGTGGAGTAGAGTCTCTGGGATAAGATGTGATGTCGATTTTTGGAGTTGAACCTACAATACGAATCATATTCGTTTCAGCTTAGTTAAATCGATCCCAGCTGGCTGTCACTTAGACTGCCTTATCTCAATCATATGTCTCGCACCTCTGTGCGATATCGTGTATATTGCAGCATCGAAGGCATAAGGGCGACTGGTCAGGAGTGGCACCCCGAAAGGGTGACAACGACTGACGAGGAGCGTACTAGACTGATTCTAAACACTCACTAAATCTTCGAAAAAACTATGAAATGAACAGACTCTGATCAGAGAAATTGGATAGAAAATTCGTGGACTTCGTAAAGTCGAATTGTTCACTCAGTTGGTTTGATATGAACACGTATTTTCAGTGAAGAAGACGGATAGGAATAGATTGTGCGCCGCAATTGCTGTCAATGCTGTTTGATGAAAAAATATCTGGCACCTAAGCAAAGTGTAACAATGAGATGGTTCGTCAGTTCCTCATGATCATAGCATAGGATCAAGACCTACAGCGCAAGTTGTGCATTTCGCTGCCATGTTATTCGTAGCGAGACAGCATCCGACGAAGTAGTAAATGAGTGCTCAGAGTCGATAGAGATCGATGTGTGCGAATTTCGGTCTACTGAATGTGTGTGATAATAAAAAGAAATGAATACCACTAAATTACATTTCAGGATCTTCCTGTTCATAGAGCTTCATGATGGCTTCGACTACTTGGTCAGCTCGCAAAGACCTTGTTGACATGTCGATG